TGTGTTCAAAAGTAGCCTGCACTCGGTGAAAATTCACCATCTGTCAGCCTTTCGGTCCCTGGGTACTTTTAGTAGGACAATAAAGAAAAAATCTATTACTTTTACGCACTATTCAAATACACTATCTTCAGATGCGCAGAAAATACATCTGAGGGGTTGCATTTTTCAAAATTTTCATGGGGGAGTACCCCCAACCCCTTGAAGTACTTCACATCACACCTTCAGCGTCGGCTACCGGGCATTCCCCAGCACAGAGTAGCCCCCTACTTGGACCTAGGTTGCCTGCTCCTTTGAAAACTTTTGAACACCGTGGATATACACACACATACATATGCACTTACATATGTACATATATACACATATGCAAATAAACACATCCACATACACACATACACTTATATACATATATACATATATACATATATACATATATACATATAATCACATACCAGTCTCATTCCATGTCGTTTCCCTCCAGGTTACCCAGGTGCTCCTCCAGGCATGGACCCCAATATTGTCTCTTGGTTCCGTGCGGTAGACCAAGATAACTCTGGCCAGATTAATGCTCTTGAATTAAGTCAGGCTCTACAGAACGGTAGCTGGTCAAAATTTTCAGAAGAGTCTTGCAGGATGATGATAAGTAAGTTAAATGTGTTTTTTTTTATTATATTCAAAGATCATGAGATTTGTTAAGTGACTTAAAAATTTGTTTGATCTTCTTATACTGTTTTTTTACACTTTCTCTGTATAGCTCTGTATAGTGAAGATTGTGCCTTAACTGATGATGACATTTTACTCACAGATCTGTTTGACCACGACCATACTGGCACAATCAATCTGCAGGAGTTTGGGCAGTTGTTCACCTTCATCAATCAGTGGATTGAGGTTTACCGTCGCTTTGACAAGGACAACTCTGGAACGATCAGTGAACCTGAGTTAATGTCAGGTACTGAGGGTTGAGATTTCAAATTTAGGCTGTTATGTTCTAATGAATATAAAAAGCTAAGTATTAGAGTAAAGCCAAGTTTTGTAGTGTGCATTTTTTATTTGTGATCAGTATATCTGTAGAGTTTTATGAATCTAGGTGGTTTACTGTTATAAATGTATAATTGGTATCTCATCCTTTAACAGCATAATAGGCCTATATTGTGTCTTTTTCCAAAGACATTAATAAGCACAAGATTAATGCATTTGACTATCTGAATTTTGCCATCAGTATAGCACATACTCATGTATAGGTTATTTATTGTTGTGTTTATTACCTTTGCCATGAGGGTTATGGTTTTGGTAGTGTTGGCTAATTGGTTAGCAGGATAACTCAAAAATTTATTAAAAGATTTTTATGAAATTTTTATCAGAGGTGTTTCTTATCCCAACTCAGATGCTATTAAATTTTGGTGATGATCTGGGACATGATCCGGATCCAGGAATCTTTTAAAGGATTCATTATCATTGCGAGATAGGGAAACATGGATGTCACCAATGTACTTGAGAAAGAGATGATTTTGATGTAATTCTTAATGTGAATATTTTTATTGCATCAGTAACCCTATTGCCTTAGCAGACATATGTGCTGTCTGAGTGTTTCTAGTTAAACAATAGAATGAATTAACTGATTGCATTCCTCCTGTAGTATCTCCTTTTGTGGTAAAAGTTTACTGGTGTTCCCCAGTTTCAACCATAATGAAAATGATTGTGCTTCAAGTGAGGGTTAGTCATTACATAGTATACTATTTTTACATGTTTTCTTTTGCTCTTTTGCAGCCTTGCAGCAGATGGGCTTCAACCTCACCCCTCAGTTTGTGGGGTTCTTGGTGTCGAAATTTGCTCCTAGAACACGACAGGTGACCCTTGACAACTTCATTGTCTCAAATGTCCAGATTCAGAGGCTGACTAATGCCTTTAGGAAACATGACACACAAATGAAGGGTGTCATTACTATTAACTATGAGGACTTTATGTCATTGGCCTTTTCTAATGTTGTTTAATGAGTTATTAGCTACACTTTAGGAAGCTATAATGTGCAGAGTCTTTGTTTCCTATATTAAGTTGGTACATTAACCCTGATTGCATTCTTGAGCAGCCAGTGGTAGATTTAAGGATCTGTTATTTTTTCAAAGTTATCATAGTGATACAACCAGGAAGTTAAGAAGTTGAGCAGAATTAGCTAGCACTTACTAGGAACCTTTATCTGTATTGAATTTATCAGTAGTCAACAAAAGTACTTAAAAATTTTCTTATAAGATTTTGTCTTCATAAATTGGTCACCAAAACTACCCAAAAATATGTTTACTTATTATAATGTTGATCGTAGGATAGTAATTTGCCTTACACTTCATGTAAATTGTTTTTTGTCAGTTGATTTCTGTTAGATTAACACTATTTGTTTTGAGTAGAAAATACTAGTTCTGCATAATCTTGTGGTGCTAAGAAGAAAGTACAGACCTGACAGGTGTCCATCCTTTTGATCCTCCCCAAGCTGGACCTCCAACAGGTTGAGAAGAAATATATAGGTAACTTCTTTTCCTTTCTTTTGTTTTATTTTCAGTTTACTTTTTTTCTTGCCAGGGAAGCAGTATTAAAGTTTCATATTAGCTTCAGCAAGAAAACTATCTTGCTCTGCATGATTTGTTCAATGAAGTTTTAGCTTCATGTAACACCATCTTCATGGCCACCCTTGGTTTAGGTTTAAGCATCCATGGTGAGGCTTAGGGGTCTTGAATTAACATACTGAATTTGGAGGCTTGCTATAAGTCACAAGCCCTAGAGTTTTTAATAGAAAAAGCATGATTTTATATCTAGTCTTTGTAAGTTTTGATGTGCAACTTGCCTTACTGTAATATTTGTACTGGTATTTTGCAAAAGTTGACTTAAGGTATATGTAGATGGTTTCTGTGTTGGGGATTGGTTTATTGTTTATAGTTTTAAAGCAATCAAATGCAGATTAGCTGATTGTTGTGCATCTAAATGCTCCAATTTCTATGGCATGCCTTTGGAAGAGGTGCATAGTAGATGGTTCTTGACAGCAGTGTGCTTTTCATCAAATATATTTAAGGAAAGGTACTAATGATTGCCATAGGTATGAAATGTGAAACAAAATATTATTTGGTAACCCTAACTTATTTGGGGAGACAAAGAGAAACACGTTCTTTATGGTTGTCCTCATTCTTATCTGCTTTTAACATTTAAAGATATACAGCTTAATGAATGAAGTTAAGGTATGGCAATGGCTGAAGATTTCTATTGTAATGGACTTCTACCAGAAAATAGCTTTAATACACTGTTTATTACAACATTAAACAAATGTATGAATAAAGCATTATATATTTAAAAATGTGCTCTTATAAACCTTTCACATTGGTACATACAGGAATGTTGTTACAGTGAGAAAATTTAGCTTTTTATTCCAAGTTTATTCTTTGTGATATATATATCTCCTATCACAGATTTATCCCCTCCCCCTTCCCAAGCCCATTTTTCTCATGGGGAGGCCCAATCTAGGGATCTCCCCAGACTTGGGCCTCAGGCTTGGTTCAATCAATTTTGCATGATCTTTTCTATGACTTTTTTTCCTTCTCCTCTCCATTTCTTTTGCCTGTGCACTTCTGAAGATGTTGGCTGGTTTTGTGTGAGTCTTGATTGGCCGCAGTGAGTCATGGACACTGTATTCCTTTGTTTATTTATTTAGACTTTATATCTCATGGAGACCCTATGGTCCCCATGAGATATAAATGTATAAATATATAAATATAAATATATAAATATATATAGATATATGAGAACCATTTCTCTTCGTTACTAACTCCAGGGTTACCATGGACAGTAATGATTTTATACCTTTATTAGGAGCATTAAAGCTTGCCCCTTTATCATCTAGCTCCACTGATTTTAACTTTTCTAGTTACCCACTCCCAATGCCTTGCTCATTGTCGTTGTGGGAGGGCTTAGGAGACGGGGACTGAGACCCAATGTAGAGGATCACTCCTACCTTGGGCCTCAGGCCTTGCCTCAACTAATTTTGCTAGGTCTTTTCTTCTCTCCTTTCCTCTTCCGTATCTTCTTTATTCCCTTCTTCAATCATATTCTTAAGGTGTGAGAGCCGTGCTGAAAGGATGAAAGGCTGGCTTTGTGTCCATCATGAACGGCCTCCGGGAGCCATGGGCACGGTATTCCCTCAGTTAATTGCCTAGCCCTTACCCCTTATGGGGACCCTGAGGTGTAGACCGTTTCTTTTCCCCATTTTATTCTGGCTCACTATGGCCAGTAATGAAGATTCTTAATCCTTAATAGGGACATTAAGGCTTGTCCCTTCATCAACTAGCCTATCTGAATTTGATTTTAATGGTTTTCAGACCCCTGCCCCTCCTTTAACCATGGCTCCGACCACTGATACTAGTACCCCCTCTTTTATGCTTACGAACAACTCTAATCACTCCAAAACCCCCACCCTGGTTATTACTCAACCTTTAGACAGCATCTCTTCCTCTTCCCCATTCTCCTCTTCATCTCCTGCTACACAATCCTCTTCAATGTCTACCCCCTCTTCCCTTAATACTACTCTTCTTCCTTTTTGTCCTCCCCCCCCTCCTCACCCGCAGAACTACGCCACTCCACACCACCCCATCTTTCTCTCGTTCTCCTCCTTCTACTGCCTCTAAAAACCTGAGTATTATATTTAGCCCAGCCAAGTGGGATCGATTCTTTGTGATTCCCCCCACAACCCCCTATTCTGAGAATACCCTTCTTTCAGCAGTGCCTCCAGAAACAAGTAGGCAAGGTTACCTTTTGCAATCGCTCTGATCGTTCACGCCTTGTCACAGTTACATCTGAATCCCAAGCTCATGCACTAGCTACCCTAACTGACCTTACTGGCAAACCCATTCCTGCCAAACTTCACCCCTCTCTTAATACTTGTACTGGAACTGTTTCTATTCCCCCAAATGCTTGTAACATGTATGACAAGGACTGGTCAGACTGAAAATGATCTACTTTCCTGCATTGCTAAATATGATGCAGTGGCTGTAGTGTTACACAATTCCTCCCAGAGGCCAGCGTGAGTCCTACATCAATATTGCCAAAATCAGTTTCCATAGGCAAGACCCCCATGAGGTTTATATTGATGGATTGTCCTACCATGTCCGACAATATCGACCCCTTCCTCGTCAATATCAGAAATGTTGGCATTTTGGCCACCCAGCCCTACCTCCCAATCCCTTGCCCGTTGTCGTGGGGGTGCTTAGGAGACGGAGACGGACACCCAATGCAGGAATCTCCCTTGCCATGGGCCTCAGCCCTCGACTCGACTAATTTTGCATTGTTTTTTTCTCCCTCCAGCTCTTTCGTGTCCGTCCCTTCTCCAGCCCCTTCTACTATCTACTTCCTAAGGTGTAAGAGCCGTGCTGAAAGGATGAAAGGCTGACCTTGTGCCAGTCCTGAACGGCCTGCGGGAACCATGGGCATGGTACTCCCCTGATTTAATTATCTAACCCTTACCCTTCAAGGGGACCCTGAGGAGTGGACTGTTTATTTCCCCAATATAGTCAAGGCTTCCCATGGCCAAAAATGAAGATGTAATACCCTTATTAGGGGCAATGAGGCTTGCCCCTTTATCAAATAGCCCCACCAGTTCAAACTCCTTTGACCACGACTCTGAATACTACAACTACTACTCCCTAATGTCTACTAGTGCATTACCCACCCAAACTCAATCTCCAGAAGACATTCCTACTCTCTCAACTTCCTCATCTTCACCACCTCTACCCCACAACATTCTTCATCAAACACCGCATCCACCCTTATTACTACCCTACAACCTTATTCTCCATCTCTCCGTAATACACGTCCCCGACCATCCACCACCACCAACCCTACAAATATCTTAAATACTCTGTTTAGCCCAGCTAAATGGAACCGAATTTTCGTGATCCCTTCTACGGCTTACTTAGGCAACACTCTTCTTTCAACAATGTTTCCAAAAGCAAGTGGGCAGAGTTTCTTTCCGTATCCGACACGATCGCTCCCGTATTGTAACAGTCACATTTGAAACAAGCTATAGCCTTATCAAATTTAACTTATCTCTATGGCAACCCCATTCCCGCAGAACCTCATCCAATCGTCAATACTTGTACCGTAACTGTCTCTATCTCTCCAGCAAACTGCCTAGTCGATACAAAAGATTGGTCAGATTGTGGAGAAGACTTACTCGGCTGCCTCAAAGACCAAGACGTGAAATCAGTACATTTCTACTCCATTCCCCCTAGAGGTCATCAAAAGAAACTGATCATTGCAAAAATTACTTTCCGTACACATGACCTTCCCTTACGCATCTATATCCCTCCCTTTTAGATCATACCAACCTCCTCCCCGTCAAAGTCAAAACTGTTGGCGCTTTGGACATCCTGCCAAACACTGCCGTTCCATAGACTGATGCCCCATATGTGCCCAACCCGGTCATAACCAATCAAACTGCTCTGCACAAACACGCATATGTGCTAACTGCGGCGGCCCCCATAATGTATTTTATAGAGGCTGCAGGTTTGAGTCTGTGGTAGCAACTCTCAAATACAAAAATGGCCTCACTCTATGCTATATGCTTGAGACACAAAATTCCATAACTCATGCTCCATCCATACTCGAAGTGATTGCTGATATCCATACCCCTACAACTCATATTCTCCCTACACCCTTTCTTCCTACTCCCTCTCAACACAACCTAACCCTTCTGATATCTATCCTCTTCTTACTCATAGACCCCCTACACTCCCTCCTACTCCCTCCCAACACCCCCCCCCCCCCCCTCAGCCCCCCCAATTCCTTGCCCGTTGTTGTCGTGTGGGAGTGTGGGGGGGGGGTTAGGAGACGAAGACTGAGACCCAATACAGGTCTCAGCCCTCGACTCAACTAATTTTGCATAGTCTTTTCCCCCTCCAGCTTTTTGTTTCCGTCCCTTCTCCAACCCCTTCTACTATCTACTTACTTAGGTGTAAGAGCCGTGCTGAAAGGATGAAAGGCTGACCTTGTGCCAGTCCTGAACGGCCTGCGGGAACCATGGGCACGGTACTCCTGATTTAATTGTCTAGCCCTTACCCTCCAAGACGCATAGGGTGGACCGTTTATGTCGTTTTATATAATCAAGGTTCCCCATGACCAGTAATGAAGATGTAATCCCCTTTATCAAATAGCCCCACCCCAGACTCTCCTTTGATCACGACTCCGAACACTGAAACTATTACCCACTCAGTGCCTACTACTGCATTACCCACCCAAGCAGAAAATCAATCTCCAGAAGACATTCCTACCCTCCCAACTTCCTCAACTTCATCAACTCTACCCCCACAACCATCATCAAACACCGCATCCTCCCTTATTACTCCCTGACAGCCTTATTATCCATCACTCCGTAATAAACGTCCCCGACCATCCACCACCACCAACCCTACAAATATCTTAAATACTCTGTTTAGCCCAGCTAAATGGGACCGATTTTTCGTGATCCCTTCTACAGCTCCTTACTCGGGCAACTCTTCTCTTTCAACAATGCCTCCAAAAACAAGTTGGCAGAATCCCATTTCATACCAGACGCGATCGCTCCCGTCTTTTAACAGTCAGATCAGAAACTGAATCTATAGCACTATCAAATTTAACTGATCATTCTGGCAACCCCATTCCTGCAGAACCTCATCCAACCCTTAATACCTGTACCGGAACTGTCTCTCTCTCCCCAGCAAACTGCCCAGTCGATACTAAAGATTAGTCAGACTGTGGAGAAGACTTATTAGGATGCCTCAAGGACCAAGATGTGAAATCAGTACATTGCTACACCATTCCTCCTAAAGGTCAACGAAAGAATCCGACCAACATTGCCAAAATTACTTTCCGTACACATGACCTTCCCTTACGTATCTACATTGGTGGACAATCCCTCCCTGTTCGACCATACCAACCCCCTCCCCGTCAATGCGAAAACTGTTGGCGCTTTGGACATCCTGCCAAACACTGCCGTTCCATAGACTGATGCCCCATATGTGCCCAACCTGGTCATAACCGATCAAACTGCTCTGCACAAATACGTATATATGCTAACTGCGGCGGCCCCCATAATGTATTTTATAGAGGCTGTCCCACTTACAAGTTTGAATCTGAGGTAGCAACTCTCAGGTACAAAAAATGGTCTCGCTTTACGTGAAGCCAGACAGGAAGCACGTCGACAAGGTTTCTCTCATACTCCATACTCTAGTAACATCGCTCGCTCTGCCCCTCCCCCTCCACCCCAAGATGTCCCCACTTCCACTTCTACATTCTACCTCCCTCAGACCAATTCTTTTGCCA